TGGAGGGGACGGTCATCGTCAATGTGATCAACACATCAACCCCTGAGGGAAGCAAATCACAATCTACGAGTATGCACAAAGTGACTGCCTCCCGAGGCGACAAACAGATCTGGGAGCTGAGTAATCGAGATCGTTTCACTGCACATGCGCACACCGAGTAGGTTTCGTTTCTCTTATGGCTTTATGTTCAAACATGCGCTATTAGAAGGCGTTTTGAAGGTCCTGTCGAACGGTGTACATCATGCGGAACGTTTTTGCGGGAATATCCGTTTGTCGAAATGTATCAACTAATCTCCCGGGAATTTCCTATCTCGTACTACCTCACGTAGTCCGAATTTTCGTTCTAGTAATACGCTACTATCTTTCGGATTGCATTTGTTGTCGATTTTATTTATATGCACGCAAAAATAGCCGAAAGTGCTAGGTTAACCCTCGTACTCGTTGAAAATGTTGGACTTCCTCTCGATTCTCCGTGACTTACGGCTTCTGTAGTTGTTCGGTTTCCACCTTTGGTTAGCAAAAGTCCCCAGTTTATTTTTTTAGCGCCTATCTTTACTTTCAGTTAGCAAGATCATGCTGCGTTAATCAAACGCAAAAATCTTACATTCTTTTAACCAGATGCCTATAAAGTGATGTTATTAGCATTCTACCGAAAAGCAGCAACAAATTGCTATCCTCTTGCTGAGTAACTACAAGCCAATTGGGTTTTTATGCTTTACTTCAATAGTTCGGAAAGATGTCTCTAGGGAAGTTTACAGTTTGCATTTTGCCATGGGTGCTTTTAACGTTTTCTGACACGTATGTCAGTCTTATCCTTTAAAGCACCATAATGAGTAAACAGGATTGGCTCAGCAAGGAAGATTTCGTCCTAGTTGAATTTAAACTTTGTGAAAACGAGTATTCGTCGCGTGCATGCGTGTTTCTATCTACTCTTTGGGTTTTTATGAAAACCCAACACTCACATTATTATTCTCCTGATATATTTCAACTCTTGCGTCGTCGTCTTATAGAGACTTCTGTCCAAACATATGATAGTTACTGTGTTTCTTAATATCTTATCTCCGACGACGGCATTATCAGGTTAGAAGACGCCAGTTTTGTCCCCAAGTAGTCAACTCGGGAAACTGAAAAGTACAGAATTTGCCCGTTTCTGTACTACGCGATCTAAGAAAGGCATGTATGCTATCGATTATCAAAACAGCGAAATAAACGCCGTTCAATAAAAGAACACTTGACAATCACTTATCATCGTCACATTTTTCATAGATGTTTTGGCAGATTTTGAATAATCCATATTGACCCAGCCGTGAAAACTCGGTGAGCCTCGGTGGGATTCGAACCCACGACACTAAGGTTAAGGCTTTAGTACAGCCAACGCTCCGCCAAAACATCTATGAATTACGTGAACCTGGTTGCCGTCTGATGGATTCTAGGTGAATTACTTCGGAAATTCTGCTTGGGCAGTCAAATTACTGTATCAGATTTGGTGGATTCCAGACGTTGCAGTAGGTTGGACGGGTAACTTGACCCTACTGTTTTTAAACTCGCGTCGTCCGGCGGGGCCTCGTAGCTCAAGTGGTTAGAGCGTTGGCTGTACTAAAGCCTTCCCCTTACTGCGTGGGTTCGAATCCCACCGAGGCGCCGAGTTTTTCACAGTTGGGTCAATATGAATCACATCTTTGTAATGGTTGTGTCTTATTTGCATACAGTGTAGCAAGTGAACTCCTATACCGTAGTCATTCCATCTCAGCTAATCATTTGCTTCTCCAGACTCTACAATTGGATTTACTGACCACTTGAATACTTGTTTAGCTGTCCATCCCAGACTTCGTGTAGTGTACACGACGAGAAGCGGGGAGTCAATTATAACGAGTGGTTATGTACAATATAGAACTGCCTCTGTGGAGGTTTAGCGCTTTTATTTGTATACCCTGCAACGGGAGACGAAAACTTCCTCTTCATTCGCACGTTTCGGCTGCTTGGGCGATCAAGTCAGGGATTTGAGTCTTCCTACTTACTCTTATTCATAGTGACAGGTAAGTGTACTTTGTATGCGTTATTACACTTGGGAAGTGTCGGGCGTTTTGGCTATTTCACCAGAGATGACTTGCAGGAATTTGAGCTATAGAAAAAGCCATTGGGGGATCAACCCACAGTTCCGCTTTGTAACCTTTAAGGTTTCTAAGGCGTGCTGCCGTCTATCGTCGCGAACAAATAGCGTCCGGAAATTTAAGCACGCAGCGATATCGATGTTCGCTCCGCCGGTGTCTTCAACTCCCGCAGCGATTGCTAGCGCATCGTCTACACGTCTTTAGCTCGTTGCTCAGGCTGCTCACCATTCCCGTGGTTGTCGTTGTTCAGTAGGAAACAAAGGCTCGCGATATGACTGCTCTACAGGCCAAACAGCCGACTTTGTCAACGTTCGCAAGCAGCTTGCTGCGATGGTCCTCCAGTTAGGTTGTTGATGTCTCGAAAATCCTTGACCCAAGCGTGAATATTCCCATCCAGATGCTTGTTTTCTGCGGAGGTGGCAGATCACTGTGTAAAAACCCACCATGACAAGAGTTTTCCGGGCATTGTTGCAAGTTTTCGTAGTTGCCCTTCCCGATCGCTTCTGCTCGTACCGCGGTGCATGGACAGCTTTCTGCCAAAACGGGAATGTGTCAATCGACACTTCTCCTCTTGTCGAAACCTTGAATGCCGCCACACTTGCCACCAGCCAGCTTCTGCCCGTTTCGTGGCCTTTGCTTTTGCATTCATCTCTGTCTATGGGGGTCCCTTGCGATTGATCGTGCTGCGTGATGGCATGTCACTGAAGTTACTCTAGCTAACTGAAGTCCGCTATCACAAACCAAGAACTGCGATCTGTGCTCTTGCTGTCACTGCCGACATCCGTCAGGGTCGTGTTCTTACACCAGCTTTGCCCAACTACATAATGCAGGCTATGCAGTGCACGTTTGCAGGCCTCTGCTGTGTTACAGTAGGTTGCGCTCCATACTTTACGAATTTGGAATAAATCGATACGTTGCAGTGCTGGCAAACCCTCGTACAGAAGTGTGATGCGCAATGTCCTGGATAGATGCGAAGGCACCTGATGACGGCATCGGGCCTTGTGGTCGGAAATATCTGTCCGATCACGGAGGACGGTGGGGCCCTTGGACTGGTGGACAGTTTCCCCTGTCCCGAGTCGAACTTTCTGTCGAAAAAAGAAGGCAATTGTGAAATTGGCCATCCGATCAGCCAGGCGTGCTTAACTTCCGTCCGTGATCGTCGAGACCTTTGGGATCGGCATGTGACCAGTGTTAAGACGAAGTTACGAATAAACGAGGCCTCCGTCGGGACAATAGGTTGTTGTGAAAGTGTGAACATGTTCTGTGCGCTCTGGAGATATCACCCGCGTGGAAGAATCCGATGAGTAGTTTCTGCGCTCTCCCCTATCGCGTCACCGACGAACGACTGTACTGTCACTCACGAACGGACGACCGCTCAACTGTGCCTGATTTGCATGTCGACTGAGTTAATTCGAGTCTGTGCTGCGTCGAGCCAGAGGCGAAGTCGTTCGGAGTGTCATCTTGCTGAACCTTCGCCTTGGCTGACAACGGAAAGCGAGCCGAATAACTAAAGATGTGGGTGGACGTGGTGGCCGCCGTCCCATACGCATTTTTTAGTTTCCCGACTTTCGGTGTGAGGGACTAGCCTGTCGGTTGGCCTAACTTTGCTCGAGCGTCTGCTTCCTACTGACAGCACTGAATGGCGATTACTCCTGATGCGGTGAATCTGCGGGCGTGAATTCGACTGAATCAATTACGATCGTCGGCGAGGATAGTTCATTTACACGAGCTTTCGGACCGTTTTTCGGATCCGTCTTCAGATATGAAAGAATCAAGAGAAGTAACGGCTAAACTTGTGAATTAGTCAGCCATCGTTGTCTTGTATCATTTTGAATAGTTGAATGGATCTTTAGACAGCCGCCAACCATACGGTTGGGTTGTGATTTTTAATTTGACTACGCATTGCTTGGCATGCGTGTTCGAACTCGATGCAACTTTTCAGCGACACCCGACCTGAATCCGACATAGGGATAACCTTGCTTGCGGTTCTGCTAGCAGCCCATCTGACTATCGACCTGACAGCAACGCCGAAAGTTATTTTTCTCCGCACAGTGGGGATAGTGGATCTTCCCGCCAGAACTATTCTTCAGTCTTTCATGTAGTTTGGTCTCTATGGTTGCGGGGTTGGTCAGCAATAGGAGTGCAGTAGAAAACGCTCGATTGTCCTCGTGTATTCAATTGGTCCTTTGGTGCACATGACTTGGCTACGCACTGGGTCAGCTGTCAGTGTGTGGCGACGATGTTTGGACCTCGAACAATACGTTCTGTGGCCTCGGAGGCTGTCATATTGCAGAGCAATACATGCCACATTCAGGACCCTGTTTCATCGCTGTCATTCGTTGCTTGCACTCGACGATGCCGTAGGTATCTACTTATGAACGCACTGAAACAGCTGTTTCTCTTACTCAACCGCACTGATAGCTTATCTTGTTGATCTTTCGCGCAGTTTGTAGACACGCCTTAGTATTCTTTCTTGTGTAGCCCGCATGCAACCCTTCTTGCGTTTTATTGGGGTTCTTCTACAGAGGATGTGGATATGTGTAGTGTTTTTGCCAGATTCTTGTCTAGTCGGAGTCGGAGTGGGAATTTGCACTCTGACTCATCTGCTATTGTTAATTTGATTTTGGCAAATGTAGTCATGTAGTCAGCATCAGGGAGCATATTTGGAATGAGTGAGAGAAGCCCTTAATACAGATGTGAATGAAAAGCAGTTATTTTGTAAGGAATTTCACATGTAGTTTTAATGTGCGGAATGCGCAAAAATAAGGGTGTCGCGCTTGCGAAATTTTCATTTGGGTGAAGATTAATGCACAGAAAAGGATCTGTTGAATCGTGTTAGTGGTATGCTTTTAGTCATTTCAGTAATTCACCAGGTGGGGCTTGGGGAGCTCGGGTTGCCTTTTAACAGGTGTTTATCCATCAATCTCGTGGACACACTCACGGTAGGCGAATTTACAACATACATCGACAAAGAATTCTGTTGACGAATGACTCGCTGCGAGAATAAGGAGGAAAGTTGATTGGTGTGGCACAGTTCTTTTTTAAACTGATAATCTTGTCGTCCGAGATTAGTCTTTGATGCCGTTGCTATGAGGTCACGTCAGTCCTGCCTGTAATGGAGAGGATGTGGATTCGAGGTCATCGGACGCTGCTCGTACGTAGCATTTCTGAGTTCATGAACGGCCCTTGTATCACGTCGCTGTACACCTTCAAGAATGTACATATCCTTCCGAAGCCACGGCCCCCAAGCCTGTACCACATATTCAAGATGCGGCCGCTGAAATGCTTGGCACGCGTATCTTCGTGAATACAATGTTATTGTCGGCACGCATGCCGCAGTGTACAACTGTGAATGGGCGATTGACTCAACTGCCGATGTTAGCTTTTTTACTTTCGACCTTTCCCTCCCCCCTACACACAATCTTGGTATAAAATTCACAGGGGTTATGTTTTGTAGTGGAAACTCTTTCCTCGCGCTTTCCGTTTTTGTGAAACTGCTTGGCGTCTTTGGGCAGGCATGCTGTATTGTGTTGTTTTGCAGACTTGTTCTCGTTCTGGCCCTTGGTTACTCCATTTCGATGGGACTGACCGAATCCCAGTTGTGATCGACAGAGAAACCAGTTCGTTGTTATTCTGTAGTCAGCCGATTCTGGTTGACATCTTGCCGCGCGGGTTAATTTTCAACCTATCTTCGCATATTGGGCCGTCTCTGTCCACGATTGCTATGGCTACTTTGACACTCCACATGTTCATTTGGACCACTTGGTTCAATTCCTTCAGGACGTTAATTATCCAGTTTTGTCGTTTAGAGGCTGATACTAGTTTGATATGGCAGTGTTCTATGCTGATGATGTTTCGTTATTGCTGGATTCAACCCTGGATTACACACTCTGCCGTTTCAGCACCAACCTTGGTTTTTAGGGTCGTGCGGACCGTGTTTCTGCACTACGGGACTTCGATGTTTGCTCTGTTATTACACATCTCTAAGGCTATATATGTCTGGCAAGATTGCTATCCTGATCTATAAACTACTCCGGGTCTCTTCTTACGCAGAGTGCATGGCGTACTCGCCTATTTCCGAAGCTTCCCAGGCTTTACTGGCCCGTTCATCGTCTTTCTCACCTTTTGCCTGTTTCCTGTGCCAGTCATAGCTGTAAGTGATGTACGTTCCCGACTAATGGCTTAAGGAAGGTAGTTTATGTGTTGTACTGCCGGTAATACTTCGTTTCCGATGTTCCTTTTCGGGTCTTACCAGATAACTGGCACTGAAGAGCTACGCAGACGGGTGGACACGCTTTTGAAGCCCGCCTTATTAAGGCTTTAGATCGAGCATGTGGACCCACCTAGTCTTTACTTCTATGAAATACTTTCTGTCATTTGGGTGGCGTAACTTTACCTCCTCCTCTGTCGCTCATTCTCCGTCGAGCCTACCCTGGCTGTTACCACTAGGGTTGTGCTTGACTACTTGATACGGCTGCGATCATGTCTGATCTAGCCGTCATTAGGGTTGTTATTCGGCTTAAAGTTAGGGCTAGACGTTAAGGTTAAGATTAGACTTTGAGGTTAAGATTAGTCTTTTGACATCGGTCTGGAGCTAGGGGTTAGGCCATTAACGTTGTCAAGTTCAATCATATCTTCAGTTGCGGCCATCACGGCAGCAGGGTTTAACGGTATATTTTTCTCAGTTCCCCCTCCAGCGCGATTAGTCATCCCGGGTCGGTATCAGTTTGCCCGGAATTTCTAACCAGAGTCGTCGGTACTCATTTTTCCTTCCGGTTGACAGCCTTTAATTTCTTGGATTTCAAAGTGTGCGCGCGCGTTCTTCGGCATTTTGGTGTATTTAAACAGGCTAGTGGCGCGAATGTAGGTTCCTCCCCCTTGCTTCCCGAAAACGGTTATCGATCAGCTTTGTTTACCCACTCATAAGATCCCTGTTACCTATGCAACCTTATTATGGGAGTCCTCCTGTTTTTTCATTGCGGCAACATATCCGATCGTTACCGAGGTATTTCTTTGGTTACATATTTTCCTTCTATACTTTCTTCAGCAATTTCCTTTTTGGTTTTATGTATCCGTTTCACAGGACCCTTATAGCACTGGGTGATTGTCGTGGTCGTCTGCGACTACTCCAGTGTGGTGGCGCTGCTATCTGTCCACCCATCATCCTGGAATCGGGTTTGCTTCAGCTAGCTGCCTACGATCCGTGGAAAAAGTCGACAAAACCGAACGGCGAAGCTTTCAAGCCCGCGCCCGGCGTCCGGCCTGCTTTTTCCTCCTACCTCTACCCCTTAGGCGAAGGCAGTAGTGGCAATCAGGCCTCCGTCGATACCCCCACCGCCGCCGCCTCATCATGCCAGCCTCAGCAGCAGTTGGTGGACCTCGATGAAGTGCGTCTGGCCGCCATTACTGCCTCTGGTTGCCTCCGAGTCTGGTCCCTTTTTGCCGGCTGTGATCGAACCCCGCTGCTTAGCGGTCGCCTTTCGGCTGCCCTACCCCGGCTGTTGGTTGAGTCAACCGTGGCTGGCATCGTTCAACGTATGTCTTGTCTGACCAGGCTTTTTCATTTTGGTTCTTGGACATTTCACTGATTTTCCACGCGAAGAGGATGGATTGTCGTATTTAGGATCATAGGTCCCCTGTAGAAAATTCAGCAGCCCACCTCCAGAAACTAATTAGTTCTGTTTACGGCTCACTCCCCACTGTGATTGTTACACAGATGAGCGTGTGGATCACGTTTTGTGCTGTTCTCTGTGTATTTGGTGGTCCGTTCGCGGCACGTACCAATGGGTGTTTGAATTCTCTCCTCGTAATTACAGACCGCAACTGTCCTTCTCTTCGAATGCAACCCGCTCTTGTAGTATGGTATTTGGGAGTTACATTTTCACCCCTTAACTCCTATCGCTGTTCGCTTTGTTTAAAGGCATTTGAGTAAACGAAAAACGGCTCCACTTTTAACGCGTGTTAGTCGGATCGTAAGGAAGGGACACAGCAGACCGTTTCAACTCCATCCCGCACTCACCGTGTTCGGTTTGCAAAGCCAACTCCTGATTTCTGAAGATACGAATGTGTGCAGTGGTTGAGCATAGGAGTTCCTCCTCTCTCAATCCTCTACTGGCCGAACTTCACCTGAGTATCCCGTCAATTTCCTCGTTTTTGTTACAGCCTTTGTACTGAACTTGCTTATCTCTGTTTGTTTCTCAAACTACATTTGCCTTTCCACCTAGCTGGCGATGGCGGTGTGTGCTCTTCCCTGGAATTCACCGACAAAGGCCACCTTGTCGTTCGCCTAGTCTGTGGATCGTGCTACCTCTTCAACACCGAGCTCCGTGTCTGGTAAGCATCTGAGCTGCCACTGGATGGCTTTACTTTTTTAAAAATGTTCCTCCTTCTTCGATGAAGGGGTTTATAACCCGTCTGGTAGAGGCAGGTTGTGGGCCACCTGCGCCGTGTGGGTGCCTATGTTTGTGTTTTCGCTCCCAGCCAGTGGTCAGGATTATAATTGGCTGAATGAGGGCAAAATAATCCCCACACAGTTCTGTATCAGCGTACTTCCATCCTCTGTCCTGTTTCCTCAGCATATAGCACTAGTCGCTATAAGACTGTCTACGGGGCTCCAGATCGTGACCCAGAACAAAACGGACGAGTATGTCCCATAACGCGATCGGTGAGCGCCTTTTCCCGTGGGAATTTATCCTCCTCAGATTCCTTCCACTTCCCCACTGTAGCGTATGTAGGCCTTTTAGCGTATTTCGTGCCTTAGAGTTTGAGCACTCGCCGTCTGCCTACGCGATTGCGATTTGACTGGCAAAATAATAGAAAGTACAAAAATAATCCTTCGCAGACCAGGGGTGCACAGGATCTTCGTGACCCTTATAACGGTTTATATAGGCCTCTTATACTTCAACAACCTCAGTCTTTACCTTCATGTTTCTAAGTCGGATTACAATCATTGTGTACCCATCCCTAACCATTATTACGCTTTTTTATACCTCCAAGGGGTTGACTACGCTGCCTATCTTCTTTTGCTGTCTACATTGGTCTCGATCGCTTCTTCTTACCCTGGTGCTTAATTGAATTACGCCTTTTTTCCGGCTTACTTGCTAGCAGTTAGTCGGTACATTATCGGTTTTTTAACTTTGTCCTCATTAATTTCTGAGGCTCACTGACCATGAAACTTTCAGTCCTACCCGTATGACACCCTTTTTTTTACCCCTAACAGGGTAGAACTTTTGGATGCTCTGGATCCAGTGAAATGCCATGCTGCCATCTCCATGCAGCGTTCTTGTCCTTCCGGTCCACTGTGCAACCTTCAACATATTTCTAAACTGACTCCGCCAAAAACTGCTGGCCTGCCCCTAGAGTGAGTTCCGACTTCATCTGAATGTGAATATTGGGGCTTAGTTGCTTCCCGTACCGTTGAATTTATTGAGAAGTAAGGATCATCACAAAACCCGGCGCGAAGCTTTTCCCACTAATCTTTAGTAGGCTGTCCAAAGTGTCTTGCCTTTTGCGACCGTTTAGTGAGTTGCGTCCAGGACGTCTGCATGGTCATAGGAGCATCATGCATAAGACCCTGCCCAGGCCTTGTAATTCGCCCGTATCGTCTCAGACATTGGTCTATCGCTCACATGACTACGTATGAACTGCCCGCTTTTGTCGCTTCTATGGTCACGCCTCGGTTCACGCTTGTTCACGGTAAAGCATCCACCTCCAGTTACGGAACCGTCCGGGGCTATCGGAGGCGTTCGCTGATGCAATGACTGACGAAGCTAAAGGCACATCTACGCGCGTCTCACACATGCTCTTCCATAACTCCAAACAAATCTTGTTCAAAGAGAGAGACGGTATCAGGTCTTACACAAATGAGAGACAACAAGGCTACATTAAGAGGGGGGCATTACGGCTAATCCCACCGTCTTAAGCAGGACATAGTCGCGGGGTCAGTTGGCAACTTCCTAAGCTACGATCGTTTGCGCATTGCAATAATTTAGGGAGCCGTATATTTATTGGTGGTAATTTTGCACCAAGTTCGAGATCCGAACTGAAGTGGCCTTACTCACTTTTGCCAGTAGTAAGTCCTCTTCAAGGCGACTAGAGATGAAATTGAGCGCAGTATCTGACCGAAGGTCGGAACCTTTGGTTGCCTACTGTTCTTCGCCCTCTGACGCCGCCATGCTCTTAGAGAAATACTTTCTAAATGAGACAATTCATTTCTCATCGAAATGTTAATATTCAGCTTAATTCATTTTCATTTACTCTGTTTGCTGCACCGTACCGTAAAGGTATGACGTCAGGAGTGCCTACCGTGCCTTTTTAGTGCATCCGAACTTTCGTGGCAACCGCCGTTCGACAGGAACCTATGTTATGATCCATGAAGAGCTTAACTGGTTACCAGTAAGGGTGACTTTTTCTCGCATGAGGACGCATCCACGGTTGGGAAGGGATCTCGCACCTTCCTAACAAGTTCTTCCTTCAACTCCTCAGCTACCTAATGGCCTCTTCTGTCGGGATATCCAGTGTGGTCGCGACTAATTTAGCATTGTAGTGCGATTATAGGAGACCCAGTCCCTTTCAAAAATGAGCACATGCGAAATCTTTTCGTACTTTTCTCAACTGACCAGTGGGCTGGAGCCCCAGGAAGACTGGACGGGAATTTTCACTTGACTGTTTGCTTTCCAGTCCGTATACGGGTGGCAGTTGGTGGTACAACGCCACGCAAAGGCCAGCCACGATGCAAGCAAACTTTTGTGTCTGGAGAAAAGCTATTGTGGATCACCAGTGATTGAGCTACCAGAATGGTGAAAGTTAAATCCTCGAACGTCAGCTGCTGCATAGATTGCCACGGAGTCGGACAACGGGACCTGAGCCGCCATCAAATAAATTTCTTTGCTGTCGCCACAAGGATTCTCTTGATGACTATATAACCCAACTTGTAACAAGCCTCTGGATCTCTTTTATTGCAGCGCTTTCCCGTCTATGTCCTGGCTCCCGTTAGAGGGTCGGGACGTGAACTTAGCAAACACGCCTGTCTGGAAGATACTGACAATTGTGCATTCCTTACCGGAATCTGATGGCTCTTGACGTGTACGTCGCCTGCCTCCCCAAGGTACTCAGCTCCAAGGAGGTTGACGATCCGACCAAGATTGTGTGCACTCGAGTAAATGCCATGTGGAATGTAACCCGCGCGCTTTCAAGGCGTCCACTGTCGGGAACTATTCCATCAGTGGTACTTATATTTCGTCGTCAAAGTGAGTTGCTCTAGTCGCGTCGATTAGGAACTCAACTCGTCAATTGCGTCTTCTTTAGACAACAGTAGAGATGGCTGGGTCATTTGCTACCCGTACATGAAATTAAAGTGTTCCTGGGTGCCGAACCCACTCTGGCGTCGATGATTTCGGGGTAGCTGACCCAAGTCAGGCGTGAGCGAGCTGTAGGCATCGGGCACACCTCTACGGTCTACGACCTGTGTGGCTGGTGTGCCAACACCGCACAGAAGTCTGCCGCTAACCGATTATAACGAAAAACCCTCTCTTGGGACTTACTGGACATGCACCCCCGCCGAATGGATCAGTCACTATGAGTGCCATCACAAGAAACTGTGTCACTGATTCGGTTACGCGTTCTTGCCCAGAAATTTTGTTTGCTTACTCAACTTGAACGCCACAAACCCTCGGCTTCGACTTCTCTAAGTCGATCTGTATGTTTTTTTTTATTTTCCTGCATCATCAGCCATGATCCCTCTGTTTTTTTTCCAGTTTGATGGAGACCGTTTGCTGTTGACTATTGTTTCCTGTTTTCCTTCAGTAGAATTGGCCAACTCTCCAGTGCCCAGCGTCAAAGCCTTAGCGAGTTCCTCGAGTGCCAGATGCAGGGTGCAGAACTGGTCGGCTCCTCAGCAGAATTCAAATTTTGGTTGTTGCGGTGGTTCCGCCATCTTGTAGAGGATGGTGCGTTTGCCCTGACGCTTTTCATGCACTGTTATTGCACTTTCTTAGATGCAGTGTGCCTGATTCAAAACTGTTCGTTTTTAGGCGATAATGGTGTTTGCCTGAGTAGTGATACCAAGGAGGACTTAGTAAAACCTTGTCCGACTTTGTGGGATCTGATTGCATCTCTCGTTCTCAAAAATACTCAACATGCTTCCCTCCATTGGTTTCGTCTGAGTTACCCAGTTATTGGAGGCGTTTTTCTTCTAAGGCACTTAAACCTCCAGACACCCTGATCGTGCGCTGCACTCTCGACCGTAGTAGCTGACCAAGTTTATCAGACTCAGTTGACTATCTGTTCTTCCAGTTCTCTGTAATTAGGGTGTCGAACTTGAGATTTGAGGCTACAGAAGCCTTAGGATTGTTTTGTGCACGTGTTTGCTGGAAACTGAAATGAAGCGTGCTGTAATCTTCATGCTACGCATGATAGACATATCTATTTGGATGGAGTCAAGTTGGTTGAGGATAGGCACCTAAAAACGTTGCAGTGCTCGTAGATGTTACAAACTCCACTGGAAACTGCCAATCGTTTCGGTTGTTTCATCACAGGAAAGCAGTAGGAATGGGAGAGATTAATACTGGTGCTGCACCGGAACTGCCGCTCAAGCTCTGCTGGTCCCTCTGAGAGGCATTTTAAAATTGTTCGAAGCCAGAAAACTACCAACTGGGAATGCGGAGGACAATGCATTAAGACTTTGCTTCTGTCAAAAATTCCGTGGTCATTGGTCTGGATCACAAGTACTTTCGCTTTTGGCTGCCGTTAGCCACGACCAAAATCAATACAAGTCAAAGAAGCTGGAGATTTAACCGAATTTGCCTACCGCTACGAGTTTGTTCTGGACGCACAATCATCTTTTATTAAATTTGGGTATCAAATTTGATTTTAAAAGCTTCAGACACACCGCGCTGGGCGTCGCACCAGTGCGCCGTTCAGAATCTCTTCGCCGTGCAGGCGAGTAGAAATTACTCACATGCGGATTAGGTACCATCGAAATTAGTCTATCCTCCGTCTTGATAAGACTACAAATCCTACTCTCCCATGCACTTTTCTGCAAGTGGTTCTCTACGTTGTTCTGCGCTTTTCCATTAGGTGAGGACGAACGCATACGCCAAGTTTGCATGGAGTTCATCGGTCCCTTTGTTCACCCCTCCAGGACATCATGGCAACCAACAATAAAGGTAGTTGTTGCGGTCTTTTACTGGAAAACTAACTTATCAGTGGATTTATAAAGTATAGGACTATTAAGTGCGCCACATACCCACATGGCAAGACTTGTAATCTGTCACCCATCATGCTGTATGCGTTTTCGTGTGATTGCAGAGCTTTCATAGTTTAATAAGTAATACGTGCGACGCCATCTGAGATATTTCAATCTCAGTGCCTCATAGAACACTTCATGTGAGAATCCTATGAAACATCATTTTGGCGTTTCGATTGTAGGCGGTTTCCTAAGGACCTTCGAATGTCCTTCGCTCGTTTCAAGCCCTTACCAAACGTAATTTGCCTGTGTGTTCAGTCTTGAGAGTCCTCAAGACCTTTTTTCTTCCCTTGTATTGTGAAATAATTGCGGTGAAATTCACAAATGGAAAGAGAGGTCAATTGCTGGAGTAGTCAGCGAATTCGTCAAGGATTTCGGATCTGTGGTGGGTTTTAGCATAAGAACGTAGAAACAGGAGTTAACAAATGACTGACTTTTGTCGTGTTACGCTATATTGGCTGCGTGCGCCCTCGACCAAAAAGTCCGTTACGTCATCCGGCTGTGATAGGATAGCGCAGTATACGCAGGACCAAATCCGCAGGTCCGTCTCCATTTCCATAAGAGTCGGAATTTCACATCTTCGTCCCTACTAGATCATAGCTTATCTTTAAGGCTTAGATGTTTTCAGGTAGGTGCAGAATATATCCGCTGTTCGTCTGACATCCAAGTCGCCCCTATTGTGACCAAGGTGTAGTTTCAGTTTTTTGGGATAGGCGGGTCCCCGGGAGGAATATGTGCACGTGTTAGTTATAATCAGTCTTTCCTCATCCCAACAAGACAAGGTTTAGTGTGATTCTGACGCCAATTCTTCCTCTACTTATTAGAAGTTTGACTTTCTTATTTCCTGCAGGTAGTTGTATGCAACGCTTACATTCTGATCGTCACTGAACCTTCCTTCTATGCAGATATTTAGTTTCAGGACTTTAAAAGGGATTTTTGATTTCAGGGCATCTCGAAACGCAGCCTGGTAAAGGAGTTACTGGCCCTCTTTGCATTAAATCTGCGAATGCAGCGGCTCTATGTCGAATTGAAGGAGCTTCTCGAACAATCCCAGGAAAATTAAGAGTTGCATTTTTGTTGTCAAGAATTACGATTGTGTTTTTTATAGCATTTGAATATAAAACAGGGTTCATGAACCCCCTATGTTTTGTGCGTTTGCCCTGTAAAAACACACACACCGTTTTTGTTTCCCTTTTTCACCTACTATGCCGATTTCATCGCTTAGAAATATATGCATACTTAGCTCATGTCAAGAAACTGCATTCCTTTCCCACGAACCATGTATTCTTAGACTTTATTATATTTCTGTACAAATCTGTAGTTTTATGGGTTTGACTGTCTGTTTTAATAAAGAGGTTTGCTTCGAAAAGCGTGGCCATGGTGTTAAACTTCATGCTGTTTCGCCTCTTAACCTCCTTTTTATTTTTCCCCTTATCGGAACTATTACGACTGAGTGAGTGGTCCACAAACCAATGACCAACAGGTTATGGCTGGGTAAAGTCTGGCAAGCTGAAGCTGGTGTACAACAAAATAATTTAGTCATCGCGCCTCGTTTAAACGAAAAGGCTGCCTATTAAAAGTTACACTGCCTGCATAACGTTGGCAGTGTCTAGAACGTTCGCACCTGTAATTGTAACAGTTGTTTCTATTCTGATGTCGGTCGACAGTCTTCAAGGTGAAGTCGATCAAGTGGGAGAGAGCTTGTTCTCGGATGAGTCCTTTCTTCCCGCCACAAATTTCTTAGCACTCGATGTATAGCATGCCGGCGTTGGCATTTGTTAAATAGTTGGTGGAACTCCTGTTCCGGATCCACCTTTCTAACCTCCGAAGGACGGCCGGACGCACTCAGGGGCAAGTTTACCCATCTCGCCTGGGCAAGTACCGGAGAGGAGTTTTAACAACTGGCGCAGCATTCATCCATCCAATTTATTTGATCACTCGGAAGCACGTGTTGCTAGTAGCCGTCTAGCATCCCCGGGCCTCTGCTGTCGCATGAAAAGGCAGAAAAGTTAAAACGTCATATCAAGTGGCGGACCGTATGATACAACGGGAAGGACAGCGACCCTGCTTGTCGCGCCTCGGTGGTAAAGCTAAGTGGGGCTAGGCCCTCAACTAATGTAAGTGAGGCGCAAGGGGGACAGAACTCAATAGCAGATATGTGAGTTGACGAGGGTATTACCCGCTTTAGAGTTAGGAGTGCTTAAAACGCTTATTCACACTAGCCAGAACCAGTTGACCGAAAGTGAAATTTCCACACCGGACTGGGAGAGAACACTCATCCTCGGTTGCCACTCGTTACTGAACCGAAAATTTAGCCAAGCCGTATAGCTGGCTGGGTCATACATCAGATGTTGATTTGAATGCGACACAGAAACACATCAAGGCCGACCAAGCAATCAGTCACAGCATGAGACGTTTTTCAATGTACGCGCGACGACATAGGTAAGGGTCAGTGATCGTGGTCTCACGTCATAATGGATTAAATTTCGACCGGACGGTTTACTTAGGGTCTTCTAGATTTTTGAATTGAGCAATGCAGCTTCGTGACGCTGCCCACGAGGAGGACTTTTCGCGCCTTCCTCCTTCAGACTCCCATATTTTTCCACCCTGCGTGAAATTTCGCTATGCTGTGGGATGTTCCCAGCTATAGAAAGCGCCAGAAACGTTGGTTTTACTCGCTTTTGTTCGTTGAGATGGCTACAACTTTGTCCTGGTCATACTAGCCACAGTCTATCGACTGCCGAGGACGGGCCCCACTGCCGACGGTCGTCTGCTAGAGGAGCTCGAGAAGCTTGCTGCACGGTTGGATGTCCTGACCACGGGCGACTTTAACGCACTTCGCATTGACTGGGACTCGCCCTACGCAGATAGCTTGGAACTGACCCTCGATGGTGGCCTTCAGAACATGACGCTCAAGTTGTTCCTAACTCAATACGTCACTTTTGCAAGTGGAGTGCGCGGAGGCCAATTGCCCTGATCTTGTTTTTACGAGATTACGGGACAGAATCAGTGAGATGTCATGTCTACCCTCTCTCCCCTTACGTAAAAGAGGCCACATCGCCCTATTATGGGAGCATTTTTGTTTTCCTGTGCCCGAGAGGTTCACTAGAGCCAGAAGAAATATTTGACGTGGTGATTTCGACCGAATGAGGGCTGAAATCGCACGCGTTGAGTGGGAATCGAAACGCCTCCGAGAAGTGTTTCACGGACTCATGGAAAACCACTGTCTGCTTTCATGAAAGATGTTGACAAACAGACCTCGATGGCTTGCGCGGATCTTAAAGATTTCAGTAAATAAAGTGCGGAGGCTGTAAAAAACCGCTTACTGACAGGAGCCTCACAACCATAAGTGCCTACAAAATTCAAAGAAGTCGAATCAAGGGCTTTTTTCTCACAGCAAGACGAGAATTTGACCTGGATCTGCTTAACCATGCTGCAAAGAACCCAAAATTAGTCTACGACTACATTAGATAGTACACTCGAAACAAGGATCCAATATCCTCATCTAGGGACTGCTGAGGATAAAAACCTCACTGTAGGTGGAACGAATCTTTCGGTCTGTTTTCACTAAGCAAACAGGATTCAACCCTCCTGCGAATGATTTCAGGAAGGCCACAATAAATAAGACTGTTCAGTTCACCGGAACAGTTGTTCTAAAGGAGCTGCTGCAGCTGCAGGAATTAAAACCGCCAGGCCCCTGTGAGGTACCGGCGAGCATTTGAAGGAACTCACTTGCGAGTTGGCAAAACCATTATCCGTGCTTTTCCATGCATCTTTGAAGCCGGATGTCAGTTACAATTAATGAAGTTCCTAGAACAAACAGCTGTTTTCCGATTCCCAGCATGGATTTCGTAGAAGCAGGTCCTGTGTGACAATCTTCCTATATTGCTTAGGACACTGTATTCGGGTAGTTGGTAGAGGGGACACGGTGCACACTGTCTATGTTGACTTCAAGAAAACCTTCTATGGTCTCTCTCGTCATCGCTTTCGGTACAAACAATTGCATAGGAGTAAGGTGTAAGCTTCTGATGTGGATCCGAAGCTTCCTAATCGACCGCCCTCAAATTGTCCATATTAGTGACCGGCAGTTGGCGGAGGTTGCCATTAAAAGTGGTGTTCCCCGAGTCCCTGCTCTTGACCCTACCATTTTTATTTTATACGCCAACGGCTGCGTAAACGAACTGGATTGTGATGTCGCAGTGTTTGCCGATTATACCAGGATCTGGGGTTTTATCCAAAATGAAGTTGACAAAGAGCGATTACAGGCAAACCTAAACCGACTCGAGTAATAGCCCAATGTCTGGCTTTTACCGTCCGACGTGAACAAGCGCATCTTTCTACGAGTCAGCGGGACAAAATCTTCCAATCGAATCGTCTGCCGCCTGGCTGGCATACCAATACAAGAAGTGGATCCCCGGAGAGACTTGAGTATGTGGACTACGACTTCACGTAAACCTTCGCTGTACCTCGTTAAGCAGACGTTCTCTTCCTTCGGTGAACACAGCTTCGGTAAGGTCTTTCGAAATTTTGCTCGGCCTCACCTAGAGTTTTTTATCTAAGCATGAAGACCCTGGACCGATAAAGACCTCAGCATACTTGAAAAAGTTCAACGGCGTGCAACCAAACTTGTAGTTGGACGGGGCTCCCTACCCTACGAAACACGACTAACTAATCTAGATCTCTTTCCCCGAGTTGCAGGCATATACGGGACGACTGCACGCAAACATTGTGCATAATGCGCAGTCAAAACTGTCGTCTCGTACCTGGAGACTGCTTCAAGTTAGCAACTACGGGCAACCCCCGGGGTTATCCACCCCACCTACGTGTGGCTGGTTCCAGTCTGGACATACGGACGTTTTTCCCCCAACAGAGCGGTTAAAACTTGGAGACTGTTGTGTCTGCATCCGTAAAAGCTTTTAAAAGGAAGTTGAATAAGTACGGCAATGCGCACCACAGTACCATCTGACCGCTGCCGTCTTGATGCCTCTTGTTAACGCTTTATTACTGCTATGATACTGGGGTGTAGGGGGTGTCAGCGGTGGGTTCACGTGATGGTCGTAGTGGTCGCTCACTTGCTTGCAGGTGAGACTACGCCTAGCGTCCATTTGCTGGCACCCAACTCTCACCTGTGGCTCCACGTAGCTGGGCTCTGCTCAGCGGCCACACCCCGGGCAACCGTCTCGACCGGCGGGCTAAACCAGGTGAGGGCGCTGTGCGCTTGTGCCGCGTGCACAGTGTACTGTGGACTCCGCTGGATGGATGGTCGGATGACACACTGCGCCGGCATCGTCGAGACGAGGCTCTGCCTGGTACGCCGTTGGATAACTGCTGCCGGGACGGGTCTCCGCATCGCCTTCGCTGAGACGCGCCCACCCTCGCCGACGGAGACCGCGAACTCACGGCATATGCGGTCGTTCTCCACTACGAACATAAAAGTCGTGGCCCCATAGTGGGATCGGTCGCGCCAACCAGGCACCTGGGCAGCCCGATTCAGGGGCGGCACTGCCTGCCCCCATGAGGGGAAGGGCCTAGAAAAGGTGGCCTAAACATTGCTGGGTACCACGCCGTCTCCAGGCTAGCCAGGGCCACAGACGTCTAATCATGGTCGAAACAATCAAAATCGAAACAACAACAATACCAATAACAACAACAACAACCATACTCATTCTACTCATCCTACCTCTTCTACCTCTTCCTCTGCCTATTCTTCTCCTTCGTCACCTTCTTCTCCATCTCCCTCCCGTCGCCCCACTCGTCGTCACCAGACTGGCATGGTGAGTCCGATCACTCTGGCAGCCTGGAATGTTCGTTCCCTTTTAGACAATCCGAGGAGCAACCGACCGGAAAGAAGGACAGCGTTAGTGGCACGAGAACTGGCGCGCTACAAGGTGGACATCGCCGCACTCAGCGAGACCCGTTTCTCCGAACAAGGCCAACTGGAAGAGGTGGGAGCCGGTTACACCTTCTACTGGAGTGGTCGACCCAGGGCAGAGCGACGAGACGCGGGTGTCGCCTTCGCTATTCGGAACGACATCGTGGGACGACTGTCCTGTATGCCGCAGG